TATTGATATTCCCAGTCCGACACAAGTCTGTTGGCCTACCTTACAAGCTTTCAGTAAACTGTGTCTGTCAGCACGCTTCTGCTCTAATTTGGTTTCCACAGAGTTGATCTGTTTTTGAGCAGCACTTATCTCCTTCTGCTGTGCAGACAGACGTTTCCGGACCTCGTTTATATCCGACTCCTCGTCTTCCACTTGTGACTTGAACGTCACCCTTTGTTGTTTTAACCGTTCCTGTGTCTGCATTTCTTCATCAATAACCTGGACACAACACAAATAATTAGTATAAACATACAACTTAGGGCTGTAGAATAATGCATGTCTACCCATTAAATTAAGCTACACTTGAGTAGTTTCCCGATTCAACACGTATCTTAAATTCAAATTGCATGGTAAAAGTTTTTCTTTCTTGTTTGCAGTTTTATGTCTTCGCAAGTGCTAGTCATATGACAATGGGTATGGCATATGTTCATTTCCCCCTCGGGCAGTAGTTTGTCAATTTAGAATAAATATTTTTTACACATCTTATAAAATCTGCAAGCCCTAACAAAAATGTTGAATATCAGAGACACCGTCTCTAACAGGATAAAATAAAATCTGCAATATATTGTGCTCTTATTTGTAAGAGAGGAAAATCTTGACTAGAGAATTGCATAAACCTTGTTAAACAGTCAATCACTGATCATTATTTCAGGCTTCTATCATTGCCATAAGATACGTTACCTTCATATGGCGAGCTTCGTCGTTCTTCACTTTTTCTAATTCTTTTTCATCGTTCTGGTAAGCTTTCTCCCACTTTTTCACGTTTGCTGTATAATGAATTCATCTATTAATTCATCGTTTAGGGTACAATTTCTATCCCATACTATCTAGCATGTTTCAATTTCTGCTTTTGTATTATACTAAATCAGATGCAACTTACAATCCAATATTGACAGAAAACAAGCCTGGAATATTCCCGTATTACTGTTTTCTGGCAGATAACATTCCTGTCAAAGTATGAACATCCTGACAATCAAATTTTACAATTGGCATTATTTTTTTGCCATAAATTTGTTGGGAGAGAAATTTGTCAGAAATTCTCCTTTCTTATTCCTCTGACGTATACATTCTAATACAAAAAGTAATATGGTCTGGACATTAACTACCAAGAAAGTATTACTTTTTGCACATTCTGATTGGTACACCTATTTACTGAATGTAATTTCCTTGCATTGCAGCATCATTTTAGAGCAAAGGTAACACAGATTAAAGAAAATGTGACTGAAAATTCTCGCTTTTTAATGTTGCTTGAACGGCTCCATCTCAATTTTTTTATATAGCTTACCAATGGTGTCTCTGGATTTTTCAAATTCTATTTGGTTTTGTAATCTGAATTTCTGATTCTCAAATTCAAGCCTCTTCTTTGCTCTGTCCTGTTGTACTCTAAGCTCTCGTTCTTCATATTGCCTGTATGGAAAGAGAGTGTTCTTTGTTTCACGTGGTAGGTGTATTTGTTAACTTATTGAATAATCTACACGTTCAAGGCTCTGGCCAACGATCGTACACAATGATCTGAAAGTAACTTTTTTAATCATTTTCTAGACAAAAATATACAACAAAAAATTTGAGGTAAAATAATTGAGAGTTAAGGATGACCACTCAATCCAATTGAGTATGCTAAACCTGTCCAGACAACCAATTTCAAAAAAAATCTGAAATGTTTGCATTCCACTTTTTGTTAAGCGCATTATAATTCATGAATAAATTGCGGTTCACAACACTGAATCCACAACCCTACGAATTCAGATAACTATTAATAAAAGGTTTCAGCTTTATATCGGCATAATGAAGGAACTTAAAAGTGAACATTCAAGATATCTTTTTTTTGTCTATAGACACAAAAAAAGACTAAGATATTGGCACTAGTTGGCTTTAAACCTGTTCCTCCTGTTTTGCTATAATCCTCAACACAATAATATCAGCACAATAAATTACCTGATGTTCTCGACACCAATCTGGATACAGAACGTCATGAACACCTCGTCTTCAACCCTGTCCATTCTCTCCTTGAGAATCTTCAACTTTTCACCCCGCTCCGACATACGACGCTCTATCTCTTGTATCCTCGGCTGAAATATGACAAACTAGCTGCTATATTTCATTTATAACATATCTCTTTATTATAAATAATAGTTTAATTTGTATACAGTTACAATGAACTGAAGGATATCTGTTACCCTATGTACTGTATATTTGGTTGAATGATTGATAATAAATCTTTTACTTACATCAAAAGACTTGAGCATCTCATTGTATGTGTTGAGATCCTTCTCATTCTGTGTGAGATGTTTGTTCAGCTACAAAAAGATAAGAGCATCAATTATTTTATGTCAGAATGAAACCTGTTCAAGTTTGAGACAAAGATTCACAAACAACTGACCCACGCTTATCCCATGAATATATAAAATTAAGTTAGCAATTTTGAAAATTTTCAAGAGACACTGGTATCTTTAAAAAAA